CGGTTTACATCTGTATATTATTACTTGCTCATTGAAGTATTGAATTTTATTGCGATTTGTCTGACAATTAATGAAAAAGATATAATAAAATTCAAAAACCTAAAATAATCAGTTGTGGAATAATCTCTTTGAATACATTGAATCTCTTTGAATTATTAACTCAAGTTCTAATATTTCAAATTAGACAGAGGAATGAACCGACAATCGCACATATTTTTGCATACGATATTAATCTGCAAATTTTTTAAACGCTAAACATCAAAAGAATCTAAACTTTTTTGAGCTAGGAACATGACAAACAATTGTTTTAATTGAAAAAATCAAATTTTAAAGTGGTTCTAATAAATATTTGGTAGATATATTTTGTATTTCAATTCTTTTTAAAATAACTCTCTCTTTGCATTTCACAGCAAACTACATTGCTTACTTATTATACAAATACATATACGTAAGCGATATAACAATATCATATAAGTTACGTAACAGTTTTTGAGAAACAATTTGATTTTAAAAAAAATTGATCACATAAAAATCGTGTTTTTATAACCTCTTTCAGAACAAATTAAAACCATTCATTATGTGCTCAGCAACATACTATAAAAATAACAGTAATCTTAATTAGATTTGAATTTTTCAGCAAATACACGATGTCATTTGATACAATTTGGTGCATTTTTATGGCTCCAGTAATACAAGATTCCGAATTTATACCATTGCAAACAACATGTAGATCCAACTTCAAACTATCAAATATGAAAAAAAAACTATTTCATATCCGACACTAGGCGGTAATCTCATAGGCGATACGTACAATGACCAAAAAATTAAAAAAATCCTTTTAAAAAACGCAAAATCAGAGTTCCTAAATACGGTATGTTAATGCAAATTTTGTGAACAAGTTAAATGGGCCGCCTGAAATGTGGTGAATTTCCAATTCAATTCTTTCAAGCAATCACAGTGACAGAGGAGACGCCGATCGCGGAAGTGCGGCTGGCGAGGGCGTCGGCGTCGGCGTCTGCGCTCTGTAGACAGCGCGGCGTCGCGACGCCTCCACTGAGGGAGGCCCGCCCGCTCCGCGTCCGCCGTCTCCACCGCCGCCGCCGCCCGGCTCGTCCGGCCAGTGACAAACGGCCCCGCTGGCCGCCGCTCGTACCCCACTTAATGCTGTTTAAACGCATTAATTTAAAATGCAAATGAAGCCGTTTGTTTAACATCAGATGTGACAGCGCTAACGGAGATCAACATCGCAGGATTAATACATTAACTCGTTTACCTTAGTAAACATGACTCTTAACGTGGAATTATACGGTACATTTTTATATTTGGCCTCTTAATGACGTCGTGGCGCTCGTCCATCAATTTTGGCGCGGCGCAGGGGAGGCCGAGGAGCGACGCGGTAGGTAGCCAGCGGCGCCGCGGAGGTCCGTGCGCCGCACGCTGGCGCGCGCACGCAGCGCTGTGGGGGCTTCGATGGGCTCGAACCCGAGGCCTGCGGCGCTGCACGTTACAATCGCACAGGGAAGTGCGTGACATTACGATTCAAATTGGCGGAAACAGAAGGTCCGACCTTGTTTGATTAATTGATTAGTGATTCCGAGCGTGTCAACTACTAAGGCCAGCAATCACGCCGACAATCAGTAGTCGCGTGCGTGTAGTGCATTTTCCACCTCGGGGGGCGGCGGTGATCTTTGCCTGCTGGCTGGCGAGATCCGATGCCGACCTACGCGACGGCTTGCAGAGTTTTCCCCGATCAGGTCTCCCCCCCCCCAGCAAAAAAACCGCTCCTGCCAGGACCAGCTCTAAGCTCTCGACGGATCTCACGGCATATGTGATAGTGTATTGAATGTAAGTGTGTGTAAGGGAGGTTAGGACAAGGAAGAGGAAGGAAGGATCGCGCACAGTTCATGACTTGTTTGTTAGAGTACTGATCCGGCATTCGCCTTGTAGTGATCGGAGAAATCATGGAAAACTATGCATCAGAGCAGCCGGCTTCTAGAATACTGCTCCAAACCGAACGTTGTTTTCAAATGGCTTTATCGCCAAGTGCGAATGGAATGTGTGCTCTTCTTTTGCGCTCATGTTCTGTGAATAGTTTACTAATGGAGAGTAAGAACTTACTGAATCCTCACGTAATATAAAATTTATGCCGGCTAACAGGCATTTATTTTTTACCACTTTAATCACCGAGACGTTTTCCTTTCACATATGCATTCTTAGCCCACACCTCAAAATATTTCATGTAACCGTGTGAAATTGCAATGGACAATAAGAGCAGTGACTTCAGTTTTTTGTTATTCCATTCGACTTCATTAATGCACGAGTAATTATTTGCCAAGGAGTCGCATTAAATAACACCCTACTTTGAAAAGGTCCACATGAATATCGAAACAGTCATGCTATTGCCGTCACTGTAACACTTGAAGTGTGAGTTTCCTTAGACATGCGCTGGGGATACTGCACGAAGCTCGACGAAGGAAGCCAGAAGTCAATCAACTTTGGACCATGAAGTATCGCTCTCACTCCTACAACCTCACACACTTCTATCGCTTCCACTGTCATATATCAAGACGCAACCTGGATTCCCACGCGCTCTACGAATTTCCTGCCCATCACTACGACGGATGAGTGCACTCTGGGTTGTATACAGACAAATGGATAATAGAACAGACATACGAATTATTAGTCACTCTTACTGCCACTACAGCTACAAGTTGCAGCACTCAAAAAGAACAAGCCATTACGCTTATTTCCTATTCTTCTCAACACTCGTAGGTATCGTAATGAAAAAAGTGAATGCACTCACAAGGCGAAGAATCGAAAAATACTCCGAAGGTAAGTAATTTCCTCAAAGCCATCGTTTTAAAACAAAGTGATTTTCAGAGGGTTATGTGTTTTACGTAACAAAAAAAGTCAGTTCACTAAGAGCTTGACTTTTCGTAAGAAAATGTGCACAATATTACTTACATACATGCATATATACAATATTTCAATATACTATTTCAACTCGCGTATGGCAAGAGGGGATTATTTTCATGAATCTGAAAGAAAACGCACAGAAGAAATACTTATCTATGTTTTAATAAAAATGTACACTGTAAGAAATTACAAGACATACAACACTGATATTGAACAGTCATGGCAAATACAAAAAGTGGACATGTTGCGTTGGTCAGTTGGGTAGGCTGCAAGCAGTGATATACCAGCAGACGGGTCCCCAGGCGCCCAGACGATATCGGAGGCTGCAATATGTAAGGCGGGGGGAAAAGAGGATATTCGCATAAGACACCACTTTACATGCTTCGAACCCGAGAGCTCAAATTTATTCAGACAAGAAAACGTATTACTTTTTATCGCAGATTAATTCAAAGAGCCAATATTTACTTTAAATTGTGAAAGAAGTCAACGTCGTGCACAATTACAAGAAATTTCCTTTCCGTTTATCGGATCGTGTCTGTAGAAATACTACGTTCAGAAACGCGGAAGTGTCTCAGGAGCGTTCGTTCATTCACAAAAAATAACAACTGCTTTGACAATTAACAAATTGACTCTTCAGGTTTCTGTAAAAACAAACAAATTGAACTGTAACGCTCAAAAGAAACCAATCATATCAAATCGATCTTTCAGGATCATATGAAATAGATCGTTCTTTTCACAATCTTTTATTGTCAGAGGTTTCCATCAGTCCAATCGAGTGCATTGTACGGCACAAACTGGCACTCCAGAACCGGTAAGGACAAAAACCGCCATTCCTTCTCGGGCAATAAATCTGGAAGGGTGTCCAATTGTAACGCTTCCGTTTAATGTTCGTGGGAGCAAATCGATCTCGGAAAAACAATTTATTGCCTTCCCATCGGAGAAACCCTACACGCGCACGCAGGGAGCAACGGCCTCGCATCGACGACGTGCGCCCCCACCGTGGAATATTCCCCCATTGTTTCGGACACGCTGCGCACCCGCAGCCACGTCGTCGGCGCCTGCGCCCGCGCCGTCTGGGCGACCACGGGGACCCGAAGACAAAAACAAAACAAAACAAATTAAAACAAAAGCGGTTGTTGTGACATCCATAACCTAGCAGATGCAGTCGCGGGCGTCGTGACGCGCGCCGCGCGGGACTCTCCAGAAGCGGGGGAAAGGGCGAAGCGAGGGCGCGAGGGCGCGAGGGCGCGAGGGCGGTGCGACGCGCCCACGCCCGCGCCGCGCGCCGCTGCAGCGCGAGCAGGCAGCCTTTCCTGCCTCTACATCTACATTCATCTTCGCTCTCTGTACAATTATAGGAGCAAACGTACACTTTATTTATAATAAACGAAAATATCGAGAGAAAGAATCGTCTTGAAACGCGCAAAACCATTTCTATTAGCTTTTACATCGATTATTTTTCTTACGGTCTCTCTATTGTGAGAAATGTGACAGGAAAATATTTCAGAAAAGTTGTCGCTACTTGTACAACGAAAACACTCTGTTATCTGGCATTTAAATGTAAATAAATCAAATTATATACACTTTATTCAATCTAAACATACAATTATTTCCTAACAACAACATAAGTAATTTGCGACAAACCGTTCTAGAAAAACATTTATACGAAATTATCATGCGGAACACATTAGTAAAGTAGGTTTTTCTTTAAAAATATGAAATGGGCATTATTTGTCAAGGCATTTGTGTAATTTAACTGAAGATACGTTTGTTTTCTGCACATTCAAGAGAAAAGAATTCAGGAAAAAATCAAAATCAAATAAGACCGAAAGAAGAGGTAGAAGTAGGAGGTAAAGAAGAAAGCAGCAAAGGAAACAGAAACGAAAGAAAGAGGGGATGCTAACCTTATCTTAGGACGAACTTAAGTACACATATTTTTACATGGTGGGATGGGCCCTATACACGGAGCGCAGGCGAGCGGCGCGGGGCGGGCGCGGCGCAGGGGCCCTCTGGGGTGGGCGTGGAGGGGAAAAGGGGGAGGGGGGAGGGAAGGGGAGATCTGCGAGGGCGGCGGCGGCGATGGAGGCGGCGGCCGGGCGGCGGCGCACGCTGGGCGTCCGGAGCGTCCGCCTCACCCGCCCCTCACTCCACTTGCACTCGCACTCCACTCGAATTCTCACTGCACTGCACTGCACTGCAGCCGCCGCCCACGCCGCCGCCGCGCGCGACCGCTCTCTTCATGCTCTCCCTCTCTCTCTCTGATTGCTCTTGGGTCGGTCCTTCTTGCAGCTCGCTATACTCCTCCATACGAGCGGCTCTCGACTCACGTTTCACACTTAGGTAGCCAAAGTATATACTCTCAGAACACATTTAGAAATACTCCTAATTACCCCACAAACCGTATTATTTATTTGAATTTTGTAAAAGTAGGAAGATATCACAGTTGTTCTGTCAATACCATTTTTGTTAGATATTGCAAATATCTATTTGTTACATTACAATTCAAATCAGTGAAAGAAGGAAATAACGAATTCGATGTTTTTTTTTTGCTTAGAGCAGTAGACCTGTACGTGCTTTCCTAGAATTGGAAAATTGTATTTTAGCATAATCCCCCCAATCCCATAAATAGTTTGACTCTCCATACTAAGTGAAACGAAAGGCAATTCTGAAAAATATATAAAATATGTTCTTCTACATATTGATTATATAAAAAAGCTATCAAGAAACGAACACAGGAAGGGGAAAATATTTCAATTTTTACTCAGTGTATGTAATGGTTTACCTAGTCATTCCGAGAGCATTTCCAGAGAGCTCGACCTGTCTTGTGCACTCACTGGGAATCGCGCGCGCGAGAGAGAGAGAGAGAGAGCGAGCGAGCGAGCGCGGGTGACGACGAGAGGCGCGGGCGCTAGCGGCACGTGCTGATGGACCGCCGCTCCGTGCACGTGCGGCACGTCACCTCGCAGCACCACTTGAAGCGGCACTCGCAGTTCACTTTGACGCTGACCTTGCGCGTGTCGTAGCCCCTGTGGCAGCACAGCAGCGCGCACCCCTCCACGTCCGGGGACGTCGCGTTGCACACGCGGCCCTGCGGGGAGACCACGCGCACGCGCGCACACGGCGTTAACACCACGTGAGCCACCCCGCACGGGACTGCGTGCGAGGGCGTCTTGCGCGGGAGTTGCTATGATCTAGGCTGTCCGAAACGAGCGGGCTGCATCGAGGTGGCTGGCGTTTCGGCCGACATATTGTGGACGTTCTCAGAGATTTACTGTTCGTCCCGGATAGCCTAGATCATACAACCCACACCTGCATAAAAGCATGCACGACGTGGTAGTAGCTGAGATCCATTTGATAAATGTAATATTAAACTCAAGCACCTGATTAAATTTCATAAATACATTTATGAAAACATTTGCGTACCAAACACGTTTAGGATTTTAATTTTTTCCTATGATCAGTGAGAATCTCAAAACAATAAAAGATATTTTATTGAAACGAATGAAAATTATTAATGTGTAACAAAAAAACTGAAATAAGTCGAAACGTCGATAATGAAATAACAGAATACTTATGTAATTCACTTTCTGAATGAATTAATAAATTAAGTAATATTATTTAATACAACCATTTCTTGAAGGTAACACTCGTGATTAACCGTACTCTAAACGCCTGAGCACATACAACAATAAAGTTACGTTTCGTTTTGTGAATGGGAACGTTGCACTGCTTCGGTGCCATACACAAGTAATCTAGAGGTACAATCAAATACGCAAACTAGGATGGGAGCCGGAATTGCTCTTGTATTGCCACTTTAACGGAAAAGCCTACTCATTGTTCCCGAAATGAAGCAGGTAACGGTGGCAAATATTTACGACTAATAGACGAGAAACTTGGCACCAGGCTTGCACGTTCTGTCCGCGAGACGCGTTTAACTAAGGCGAGTAAAAGTAGACGTCTGAGGGCGCCTTTATGATAAAAACCAATAGGCCAATTCTGTTCGTGTAAAAATCTATGGATTATTCTAACAAAAATATGTACTAACGCGAGACGTGTTACTTTTACCCACCTCAGTTAAAGGCGAACACCCTCTCCCAACCACGCCCTGTAAATGCGCATGAATCCCTCGTCCATCCACGCCCTATGATCTTGTATGAATCCATCTTCCATCCACGCTCTGTTACCACGCATGAATCCCTCTTCTATCCTCGTCCTGTGAACGAGTATGAATCTCTCTTCCACTCAAGCCCTGTGAACGTGCATGAATATCTCTTCCATCCACGCTCTGTAATCGTCTATGAATCCATCTACTTTCCAAACCCTGTGATCGTATATGAATTCCTCTTCCATCCACTTCCAGTAAGCGTTCATGAACCCCTCGACGCACTGCGAACGAGTCTGAACCCCTCTTCTGTCCACGCCCTGTTACCACGCACGAATCCTTCTTCCGTCCACGCTCTGTGAACGTGCATGAGCCCTTCTTCCATTCGCGCCCTGTGTAAGTGAATCCTTCTTCCACCCAAGCCCTGTGAAAGCGTTTGCCACCCCCCCCGGCGCTCTCACCTGCGTGCCGAGCGAGCCCGTCTTGCGGTTGGGCGCGCAGAAGTCGGGCGAGTCCTCGGAGTAGACGAGGTCCCCGCGGCCGGGCGGCTTGATGGTGCTGCCGCCGTCGGGGAGGAAGGACGAGCCGTCGTTGTTGGGGATGACCTTGGCGGCGCCGTCGAAGCGCTCCTTGAGGCGGTCGCCCACCTCGCGGAAGGGCGGCATGCGGCGCCAGCACGTGCGCAGCGTGCACGACCCCGACAGCCCGTGGCACTTGCAGTCCACGCGCATGAAGTTCTTGATGGCCTGCGCACCCACCACGCGCGCCCACGCGCCCGCGCGCACGGGTCACTTCAGGCGCACTCAGTCGATTTTATTTATTTACTTATTTGTTTATTTATTTATTTATTTATTTATTTATTTATTTATTTATTTATTTATTTATTTATTTATTTAATTCAATTTATTATTAAACGTGATTAAAATGCTGTTTTAATCAAACTTTTCTTGTGCTAAAGTTGGTCTTTATGTTCCCCTGTATTGAAGTTGTACTTTAATCCCCGATGGATTACAGTAACAGCATAAAATAAACAAACTACAAATGTCACACTGAGAAAAAGAAAAGTATCAATTAATGTTAACATAAACATTAATACTTATTCTGTACTTTCTTTCTTCCGGGGACTTTTTCCAGCTTTTACGGGATGCCGATTTCGACTATCCACGCAGGATACCCACTATGTTCCTCGTCGGGAGACATATTAACCTAGGCACATATGCGGGCTCGTCAGTCTGTGGTCAGTTGAGGTTTAAATGTGACCAACAGATGGAAGCCACCTACAGAAGTAAGGGTGCCGGTCTCATGTAATACACGCGTATACCCGAATTTGAAAGTAAACAAATAAACAAACGGTGTAAAAATACAGTTTTCTATATGAAAAGGGGTTTAACTGAACTTTGTTCACTTCCGACATAACAATTCTCCTTCGTTAATAATGATATTCCTAAATCCCTTGTTACTACATAATCATTATTTATTCAATTTCTTTAGTTATTTTTATTGTTTACGCATCTATTTATGTTTAGAAGCCCTTCAATAGCTAAAATCATTCAAGCACACGGGACATAATCTAATGAATAAGATAAAGGCAATAATGAGGTGAATGATGTCTGAGAAAGAGAACGAGAGGGAGAGGCAGAGAATCCAAATCAAATCTTTCGATAACGCATGGGCTGACTGCGAATCGATCCCCGACCCCGACGTCGAAGGTATAGACACTGCCCATTTCACTTCAAGCCCCTCACCCTCCGAGTTCATCATTTGCATGTGTTACCTTACTACGTGAATTATACATTTCTATGCGCAATTTCCGACAGTGAACAAGGAAAGTGACACATCTCAAAAATTACCATTTAGGAAAATGTTTCTTTTTCCTGAGAGGAACCATTTATTTCGCCGATTTCTTAAACACAATGTCTAGTGAACTATCATTAAGAAATATTTCCAATTACACTATTGTATGTTCACTATTTTATAAACGTATTTCTTCATTTAACCCGAAACAAGTTTGCACTCGTATAAATTTTCTTGGGGACTGAAGATTTGTACTCTGTAGATGTCCTGAGCAAGTGGCAATTGATCTTTTAAGATCCTCACCAACGAAAACTGGTGCACTCACACCAGACCATAGGACGACTCGACTTTTTTTCTGCAGCTGTATCGCGAGAGAAAGTCCGCCAAATGGATGCCTCACTTATTGAATGTGATTTTTGCGTATGAATTTGATTTCGGATGGGAAGAAGGATGAGAAAAGAAGTATCGCTTAATATGGGGAATGCACGTTGAAAGTTGATTTGTCCATCGACCGTCAGACTACTCGGACTCTGCATCACCTTTCATGCTTCCAATTACTCTCAAAAAGTGGGTGAAAGCAATAAATATTACAATACAATATATCACAAGAATAAACAAATGTCTTGGGAGACACCTACGAGTATGATCCCATTTTTGGATTGGTAATTTTCCGGTGTAAGAGATGAAATTGGATATCAAAAATCTTCCTAATAATAGTCGAAAGTGAGGTCTTACAGTATTTCGTATAAAGGAAAGCAAATTTTACGTCACGTTTAAGCGTTTTCTTGTCGTCTGTTGACGGTGAATGAAAGAGTAGTGGTTTCATCGTTGACTTTCACCGGAATCATTCAAGCGATTTTTCGCCAACTGACATGCTGGTGTATTAGAATACTTTCTGTCTAGACTAGTCATAAAAATCAGGTACGTACAAAAGTGAACAATTTTACTTTACCACAACGCTCATCTTCCCTGACGTGTCCTGAGGGCACATTTTTCGCAAACCACTATGTGCCGACTGGGAACCACGTTACAGTGCAAATCCCCTAATTTGTGCGTGTAATGTATGCATTTTCTATATTGCAAGTGTGTTCTTGTCGTGTATTACCTTTGATAAAATGTTAGACAATATTTAAAGTGCAGATTTACCAGCAACATAGTCATTATACAATAACTCGACGTTATTTATAACAATGTTTATCAGAAAGCAATGTATTAAGGAAAGTAAAACAATATTACAACGAATATTTACAGAATCAATTTTATTTTTTGTGACCTAGAATTTTTCATCTTGCTATTATATACAGGAATATTTTAAATGGACATGAATTAAAAATGAAAACTTTTAATAAGTACACTCACAAATTCCGAAAACGTTACACGAGTCTATTTTACTTCAGGTTGTATGAAAAAACGAGTCATTTGTGAATAATGCCCAATGTCAGTGTCCTGTGAAACTGATCGTCTAAATTCCTCGTAAACACGCCTGCAATAAAAATGAAATAACGTATATAATTACTTTTCCCTCAAGGTATTGCAAATTAGTAATGTCTCAGCCCACTATTGCAATTTCCCGAGCTACGAATGCAACACACATCGATTTACTTCTTCACCGACAACGTGATTCCGGCCATCACATCGAGTCGACCTTTCCGCTCCCCGGCGGCGCGTACCCGGATCGCATACGTAAACGCGCTTTTAGTGCACCTTCTATGTCGCCTTTCGTGTCTTTTCCCCAAGGACAGAGGACGCGCGTTCTTACTACATGGCGTGATCGCGTCACTAACGTCTTTAATGATCGTCCTAACGATCGAAGAAGGCCGCGCCTTTACGAGCCCCAGCGCCAGCACCACCGCGGTGAGCGGTTTGACCCGGTGACTCGGGGATGTTCCCGCTCGCAGCCTGGCTTGTTAGCGAAACGGGACCATCGAGGTCAACGGAAGGCCTTGCGTACGCAGCGAGGTGAGTGTGGAGACGGCGGCGGTAGTGGTGGTGATGGTGACGGTGGGGACGGCGGGGGGAGCCGATATGTCGATGATGGTTATGACACATGTCGAGGAAGGAGGACGTCGCGGGAGTAGAGAGGTCAGCGAAGATAGTGTTGTTGATGGTGGAGGTGACGGTGGCGGTGATGGTGGTGATGACGGTAGGCTGCGACAGAGACAACGTCGGAGGTCGTGGGGCGACGTAGTATACGGAGTGGTGGTGGCGGTGATGGTGGCGGTGGGGAGGCGACGAGTTGGATGCAGTAGATACACCGGGCTGATAGAAGGCATCAGTGGCGGTAGGGAAGGCAGCGGCAGGGACATGCGATGTATGTGCGTGAGGGGGATGGGAGGGACGGGAAGGGGCGGGACGCGGGACACGGCGGGGCCGGGGACGGGGCGGGAGCTGTTTGGGCCGGGGCGGAGTGGGGAGGGGCGGATTGGACGGGGGGGATGGGGTCGGGGCGGGGCGGGGCGGGCACGGTGCGGCGTGACGTGGCCGCGGCGCGCCTCGTTCTGGCAAAAGTAGCGAGGAACGAACGGAGTATATCGCGAGGGACGGGACCTTCCCAGGAATGTGATTGAACCCAGCCGTTTTAAATGCCCTGAAGAGAAAGGGCATTCAAATGAGCAGCATGTTGGAGCTTCCTCCAAACGTTCAGTTTATGCATGCAAAATACACTTCATTTACAATAGTAGGGTTTTAAAAATGAAAGAAGATGAGTTGTTAGTGCGCGATACAAATTGACCAGGGCATCCACCATTTCTGCTAATTTTAACGTTTAAGAATATTAGAGTAGAGAACGGCTATCACTTATGGAGAATGCAGTAATTAAATCTCTCCTGCCGCGTGCACGGGCAGGGAAAGTCGGTGAAAGGCTGCTTTCTCGCTGCTTCCAGACGAGCAGAATTTGCAATAGGGTCATCTTCCATTAGACGAGTTGGTTTCCTCTACCGCTGCGGAGTCCTACCTACTCCGCTTTCGTGTCTCTTCAAGACTTCTTCGCGTCTGCAAATTCTTTGAAAAGGGGCTAAACCTCTGGATATCACAGGTATATTGCGTGGACACTCAGTTTTAGTATAATTGCCTATTACTCTGATTCAAAGCACATAACTACACAATATTGAAGTGTGAAATTGAGCGTGAGCCAAGGGTTGCAGTCAGTGAATTCCGTTATTTGAGTTCGGCCTTGAGTCGTTTTTGTCCACTTTTACCCCAGACCATCTTCTTACATAAAAATGTAAACAAAGAAATAATCTCTTCTGGGGAGTACGAGTACTCGCGTCCGCCCTCTTAGTTTGGATTAGGTTCGAAGTGAATATGATACGATATGGTTAGCGTTATCGAACCACGGCGATCCAAATCCTATCTCAGCCATGAATTTTTTAAGGACAAAAAACATCCGCGTGACGCGCTTCCTTCGGAGGAGAAGTAAAGCGGCCTGTCCTATGTTGTATATGTACTACATGTAAAATATCCTCAAACCTAAAAGAAGCCTCTGAGCAAATTTCATACGTCGGCCGCGTATACGAATCTATCGCTTGCATGAGGGGAAAAGGAGCATAACAAGAATATCTTGCTGGGGCAGGCAGATGAAGCAAGAAGATTAAGCCTTATGTTTACGTGGGAGACTCGGGCCATCAGGCCCCTTCTTCCATCTGACCACGCAAAATTTCCGTACGCTCCTTCACAACTAGCAGAGAAAGGAAGTATTTCTTGGGCAAGAATACAGGCTATTTTGAAATTAGCTCAGAGCGTCATTTAGGCTTGAGGAATCTTTTACGTGCAGTAAATCTACTAACATGGGACAGCCGGCTTTACTTCCCCTCGAAGGAAAGCGTACGAAGGATTTTCCACCCTTAAAAAATCCACGGTTTCGATCGGGTTGGAACCCGGCCAACCGTTACAACTTCACTTTTGGCGCTTAGTGGAGGGCGGGGACTGAAAATTTGCCTGGCCGGTGCGGCCCTTAGATGTGCCTGGTGTGCGTTGAGCGGGTGCAAGAAAGCGCGTTGCTGCACCAGGCGGCCGGCCCGTCGTTGTGTGCAAGCTTGACAGCGTCTTGAGTCGGAGCGCGTTCGCCGCCGCCGTGCGGCGCGTCCATGAAGCTCTTGGAGACGCGCAGGCCGTAGTTGATTGTTGTGCCCGCAGCCGTCCCCACTTCCAGTCGGAGGTGAGCCCCTGGGTCGCCGCCGGCACGGCCGCCGCGCGGCGCGCGGGCAGCGGCGGTCGGCGGAGGCGGCGGCGGCTGGGGCCCTGCGCCCACGGGCACGCGCTGCGCTGTGCGACCCACTACCGCCCACGCGCCCCTCCCCATGCCGGCTAAAAAGCAATGCAGGAGGGACACGTAAAAAGAGCGTTTAACTCCCAGTGATTGGCGATTCCAAGCGCGTCAACTACGGTGGTCATTCCTCCCATAAGTCTAATGAATGTTTTGTCGCGGGCTTGATGGCGAGATTCGGCGCGAACCTACCCGGCGGATTGCGGGGTTTTCTCCAACGAGGTATCTCCCGCCAACAAGGCAACACCCCAGCCGGGACAAGGTCTAAGCTCCTTTCTGGTGTCTCGGCATATGTTCTAGAGTAGTGCATGTAAGTATAAAGTGTGTGCATAACTAAGGAGTGAGGAAAACGCAAGGAAGAGGAAGAAAAAATAACGCGCGATTCATGGCCTGTTCGTTAGAGTAACTCAGGCAGTGGCAGTTTTGAACGGAGAAACCACGGAAAACTACCAACAAGAGCCGTCCGCTAGAATTCTCCCCCAGAAAGCGGCTGAAGTCGGCCTGGTTATCTACCAGTGTCGGAAATCAACACTAGGACCTCCCGATCAGAGGCCCTACAGTGACATCAATAGATTCCCTGAGTCACCTAACCTGAACGGTATGTACCTGTATAAGAGAGATTATGTTACGGTGGAAGAAACCCATCTTTAACGCTTGAATATAAACTGACCTTATGTGCGTACACTGACCAACTAATATTAATAATAATAGTTATAATTATTCGAAAATGCATTGTCTCTTAAAATCTTTAAAAACTATAAAAATTTGTCCCAAGTAATAGAAATTTCTCTCGAATATCACAGGCGTTCTACATTGATGACATGAAGTTAAACGCGAAAGATGATAGTGAGTTGAAAAGTCTGGTGCAAGTGACAGAATTAACTAATACATAAGAATGGAGTTTCGAATGGAAATATCAAAAGAAACATGTACGTTAAGCAAAACAGCGTTCAAAACAAAGGACTTCAGAGAAATGTTCTTCTCTTCAGTGAAAGAAAGAAAATCAAAACGATGGGTGAAAACGATATACTGTACGTAATAATTTGTATGTGTATCTTGGATGCGAAAAGGACATAACAACTGAGCGTGAAAATGAAAAACAGAAACTGAGTAAAGATTTCAGCTATCAACTTGCTAAAATATGAAATTAATAAATTACTCTTAAAAACTCTATTAAAAGCAATAAATAAGGACCTATGACATCTCTTTTTGTCTACTTCTTCTACGTCCAAATGAACTTCAGAAAAATAATAGCTAAGAACATTGCGATTGGAATCCGAATGTATCAAAATTGGAAATTTCCTGGACTAGACAGAATCTAAAGTTTCTAGTTGAAGTACTTTACTCATGCTCATGGAAGCATTACTCGCTGTTTCACTGCACTGAATATCTCCAATAAAACATCTATTTGAATGAAGGTAACACTTTTTTAATCTTCAAAAAGGGAAACAGAAAACTTAATGGATTATAGATCGAGAATACGTTTATTAACTATACATGAGCTCTTAATCTCTGTTATTGGAGAGTAAACACTGCCTCACTCTGCAGATAATAAGATCCTTAGAGAAGAACACAAAAACTACATGAAGAGAGCTTCGAGATGTAAACATCAACTCATCATTTCTATTGTCTTGAAACAAGAAATAAGAATAAATCTCTACAATTTCTTTATTGATTTCAGCCAAGCATTACTACGTTTTTCATAAATAGCTAAACAAAGTAACTATAAATCTATAAAATCTGCCCAAGAATGAGAAATATTCAACATTTGATGAATAAATGCTGAACAAAGGTCCAGGTATCTCCACCAATGGGAAATCGCTGCGGCAAGCTCTAAGCTGGAATCCTACATGTGATCTAGTGTAGTGTGTGTAAGAGGGTGTGTATTTAAAGGCAGAAGAGGGGAAACGAAAGCCGAAAAGAAGATAGTGAACGGTGCGTGTTCCGTTTGATATATTTGTATTGTGCCAACACTTGCAGGTATGGATCGGAGAAAACAAGGAAAATCACCAATCAGAGGAGCCGGGCGCCTGAATTCTACTCGGGACAGCGAAATTCGACTCAGCTAGTGTCGAAAATCTACCACTGTCAGGACTCGAACCCAAGGACCTCCGGCAACAGTTTTAACAATGAGCCAACTCAGTCATTGAATTGATGCGAGGAGGGTGAGGAAGAAGGAGGGATAATGCGGAGAAGGGATTGAAGAGGGGAGGAAGAAAGGGTGGGGGACGGAGGGGAGATTTTGGGGATACTGATAGGGGGATCGCGGCTGATAAAGTCTGAGGTGCAAAAAGCAGGAGGGCGGGGGCGGGATGGGCGATGCGGCGGGAACGAAGGCGGGGG